GTTTCCGAATTTCATGATAAACCATAATCTAATTTCAACTTATCCAATTTTTTTCCACGTAAAATAAATCTGAATTCTTAAAGTTTAATAGGCGATAATAAAATTCCATGAGTTGACACCGGCTGACAAAATAACTGGGTTAGAGAAAAATGAAAACTTTCCCAATATGATCCTGGTCGAAGTTCTGCTCAGAGTTGAGTAATAACAGTTCTCGTATAATATATTTGTGAATTTGCGAGAGAAACTCACCTACATCTACATTTTGAGTTAAAGTTAGATTGGATTGAGTTTATATGCATACGTCACTCAATTTCAGTAATATCTTAATGGCTGATTAATGTTGGGGACAGTAACATACATAACATTTATATGAACTTCATCTTGAAGCCGTGTTATGCTTTTTTTAGATTTCCAACCGGTTTTCACGTTTGTGACATTAGCGCAAGTAACTTCTCAATATCACATAGATAATATCTCCGGTCTCGAACCACACCATCTTGATTGATCCTTGTTACAACATCTATTTTTTTTATTGCTTAAATGGGTGGACAAACTCACAGCCCACCTGGTGTTATGTGGTTACTGGAGCCCATAGACATCTACAACGTAAATGCGCCACCCACCTTGAGATATAAGTTCTAAGATCTCAGTATAGTTACAACGGCTGCCCCACCCTTCAAACCGAAACTCATTACTGCTTCACGGCAGAAATAGGCAGGGTGGTGGTACCTACTCGCGCGGACTCACAAGACGTCCTACCACCAGCTTTTGCGACCAATGCCTTGTGAAACAATACAATTCTCGATTTTAAAAAGCAAAACATTTTAGTGTGTTTTAATTTCTTTCACATAACAGAACGCAACACGCCAAACGCTTCGCACGTCTACCAATAAACGAAAAGCTTATTTCACTCACGCCTGACTTTGAAGCATCCTTCGATTGGAAACTGAAAAATATTTCCAATATTTTCTCGATGAAGAATTTTCGTTTCCATTCAGAAGTATGTGCGAACCGTGCGCGAGCTACAAACGAGAGGAAATGAATTTTATTTAGCTTCAGTACCGGCACTTCGGCCTCAACACATGATGTTTTAATTTACCAGCAACGATTCTCGGAATTTCCGATATCTGAAATCGAAGTTCTTTACGACTCGTTAAATGAGAAAATTATTGCGAATTCAATTCATATTATTGTCTGTTATCTCATGTAAAATATAATCTGAATTTTTACATATGGTTTTTATTCTTTCCCATACTTTAGTAGAAAAAAGTGTTGTGTACAGTAAGCGTCAGTTTCCACTTTCCTTTTTCTCGGCGACAACAAAAACAACTAAACAGTTCCTAATATTTGATCCTTTAATTTTTTTATCGATGTATCCTTCAAATCAATCCATTAAACGAATATCTGATCAATTCGACTCACCTAATGCTATTACAATAAAATTAAAAGCATTAGAACTAAATAATCAGCTCAGACTTTAATCACATTACAAATCAAGTGCTTTTGGTAGCATAGTGTTTACTCAGCCAAGTACCGCATGAATGGGTTACCTTTTTGATGCAAATTTAATGAGGCGGGCTAGGGCAAGGCCTTTTAAAACGACTGACCATTACGAGACAAGAGCCCCGACTGAATGCAATGTCCACAACGCGCAACTGGAACACTTTTATCGTTCATCTCGAAACGATATCTTTGCATGTTTAGGAAATGCTCAAGTTGGTTGAAAAACGTGTGGGATTGGGTTTTATCGAGAATGCAAACAGTCCTCTACAAATATGGGTGTCAACAAAAGAGTCGGTAATGGAATCAAATGCTACGCTTCTCCTATATAATTATCGTATGTCGTATTTCCTTCGCCAATCAGTGATGCTTACTAATTTAAGGGAAGAAACAGTCGTAGCATAAAATTATTATGGCTTCAAACAAATAAAAAATTAATATATTTTTTATTCAATACAGTATCTATTGCGAATCATCATAATCTTATGACTGATTCCGAATCCGCAAGAAAATTAGGCTTTGCCCTTTTCTAAACAGCATACGTAATGTATGCACATCATGATGCACTACAATAAATTTACAGTCATCATCATCATCATTTCAGCCTGTCTACTGTCCACTGCTGAACATAGGCCTCTCCAACTGATGTCCAGTGCGGCCGGTCCGTTGCCACCTGCATCCAACTTTACAGTACTTATCAGAATTTAGACAAACATGAATATAATTAAATTAAGGGTATATTGTTGAGCAGCTATGAAAGATCTGTACAGGGCTATTTTGTGTCGAGTAAAATTTCGTACAAGTAGCGCTTTCATATAATAATTCTTTCAATGTAGCAGTGTCTATGTGGTTCTATAATCAAGTACCAGGTGAGTCTGGACTTTGTTCGCCAATAAAAGTATGAATGAAATTCGATGTCAAATACTTCCAAACAAAAGTTATTTCTATTAAGTTTAGTTTGAACATTATCATGTTGAGTAGACAATTTGCCAATCCCTAAACCTAGTTGATCTTTTGAGTAAGCAGTCTTGCAGTCTTGAGTCTAGTATCAGTCGTGACTTTCAACTTTAAACTGTCCACATTGAGATTATTTTTGCACTTTAGTGCATCTCGACCAACTATACTTTACATATTGCTTAGCCAAAATCAATATTAAGACCTATTATATTGTTCTATAGGACATGCAGAGAGAAGTGCACGGGTACCTAGTAATTAGTCAAGACTCATTTACAGAACCCTATTTAAAAGGGCTTGCGGTGAAAACGTGAAGGGGAAAGCATCCCAGCCAGACGTGTAGTCTTTTTTGCTAGAGCCATTTGGAATTATAAGAGTAAATCGATGAATTAAAACCGTACACCAAGAAGAATGAAACGTAAAATAATCTACTGTGATAAAAAAGAAAAGATGCTTAAGTTATTGAAATACATTACACTTAAGTCGGACTTAATTTTTATACACGTGCTATGAATACTTAAGTGCTTAGTCCTTCCAAGAATAATTGGTCACAAACACAAAAAAGACTTATACAGGTACATTTGCATTTTTATATAAATAATAAAATATAAATAAAAATTGCATTTTTATATACGGAGGCTTAATTTGGAAGATTTTCAGATAGACAATTGTTATACATATTTCGTACTGATTTATTGGTAATTAACGTAAAATTCATAATCACGTAAACATATTAATTATATGAGTTCAGTGACAAATAATTTTATTCTTTGTTACCACTTCTTTCAATCGACAGCAAACCAAAGAGATGTTGTACAATGTAATGAAGAAAATGTGAGTCAGTATGTCAACTATGAAATTTAATGAAAAACAGAGTGTCGCAAACGAACCCACAGACTTATTCATAACTGGTTATTTAAAACATCTGGAGCGGCCCTAACAAGGTCCTTAACTATTCACAGATGAATGTTAAAGCCTTTTCAGACTTTAACTTGTTCGTTAAAAACACGCAAACGTTCCTCTAAGCATGCACAGAAAGAAAATGAGAGCCATTTTGTACGATCAAAAGAGACGTCTGGCTTATAAGGCTGTTACTAAATACTTAGTATTGCTAATATTTCATAAACGGAACGGCTAATTGGCATTTCAATACTTTGAACATCTCTTTCGTACTACTGCATTCAAAATTGTTCGGAAAGAAATTTTTAGAACGAACGCGCAGTCGGCTTTTTATTGGTTGTGCAATGAGCAGTGGTATTTTTATGCAGTATATATATTTTTTTTTTTTTATTGCTCAGATGGGTGGACGATCTCACAGCCCACCTGCTGTTAAGTGGTTACTGGAGCCCATAGACATCTACAACGTAAATGCGTCACCCACCTTGAGATATAAGTTCTAAGGTCTCAAGTATAGTTAAAACGGCTGCCCCACCCTCATTCTTTCTTAACGGCAGTAATAGGCGGCGTGGTGGTACCCACCCAGTAATTATGCAAATCATAATTTTGCGGGTTCAAGATTTTTCCTAGCAAAATCGGCACAAAACCTTTTCGAAGTGCGTGTAGCATGTGATCTGAAGAAGCAAAACGAAGACGCTAACTGCCGTCGTGGTTCCACCGAACCGTAACACTCACATCGGTACGTACAGCTTTTGTGAAATAACCCTGCGTCGTTCTCTAACAGCAAAATTAGCATGAACGAGAACCGAGGCCCGCTATGCTTAGAAATGAGTGTTGTCTCTATTTCACTCCTACAACGTCTTGCGTATTTCAGCTAATAGTTTAACACTCTCTAAGTTGTGTTCACTTTGTACGAAGAAGTACTTTTTTTTTATTGCTTAGATGGGTGGACGATCTCACAGCCCACCTGGTTTTAAGTGGTTACTGAAGCCCATAGACATCTACAACGTAATTGCGCCATCCACTTTGAGACATAAGTTCTAATGTCTCAGTATAGTTACAACGGCTGCCCCGCCCTTCAAACCGAAACGCATTACTGCTTCACGGCAGAAATAGGCGGGGTGGTGGTACCTACCCGTGCGGACTCACAAGAGGTCCTGCCACCAGTAAAAGTACTGTTAAGAACAAATTGTAACAACGCGGTTACCGAATTAAAATAAAATATCGACATAGCCCATAATTCGACCAAAAATTTTAAAGTAACTATATTTCGATAAAGACAACCCGTGTTCTCCAATCGTTCAAACCGAGAGAAACATATAGCACTTGTAAAAATGACGAGATTGAAAAACAAGTATAAAAAGACAAGCGCGCTGTCCTTCACTATGGAACCATGGTTATACATATTCATTGTGTTCACTGCATGCTTCCAGACGGCGGGTCGCTGTAAAACAACAGGAGAGAATTCTCTTTTAATTACGAGTCCGCCTCGGACGGTACGATGCTTAGAATCTTTTTTTATAAACGTTGCCCTCACTCGAAATATCCAATTGTGTAACTTAGTAACGTGAATTTAAAGCTCAAATTGGCAGGACTGGTTCGTGTTTATTTTATTTGAATTGCCCGTATAGTGAAATTGTTTAACTTACCAATGGATACGTCAATAAGCAGGGAAAAGCTATGTATGTACCTGAAAAAGACAAAAAATATTTAAGAATTTTAAGCAGAAGTATTAATAATACACACACAACATAAGTTATTAAGTTTCGTGTGGAAATTCTATTAAATCTGACTAATTCCTGTAGAATAATTTCTGAGCTGAAAGAACAAATATGTAACAGATAATATTAACAAGGTAATTTTTGTCATTAGCTTGTGTCATTAGTCAGTAGCTAGTGACTGAACGACTCATCTATCTATACTAATATTATAAAGAGGGAAGATTTGTTTGTTTGTATTGAATAAACTCCGAAACTACTGAACCGATTTGAAAAATTATTTCATTGTTTAGAAGCTACACTATTCCCAAGTGACATAGTAGCATAGATTTTTTTTAAGAATTAGGGATCCTTACTAACACTCCAATAATGTAACCCAAGGTGTAAAAAAATACCTAAAATCTTATAACTTTAAACGAGCAATATTAAATACTTTTAAGAGTCCATAGACATCACGTTGAGGTGATGCTTTGACACGAGGTCGATGTTTAAGTTGTATTCTTTGACTTTCAATTATACATGTTACAATAGGACGGAAGAAATACACAGAACATTATTATGTATGTACATTATGTTACAATTTGAGTTACAATACTGACGCTTGGTAATAAATCAGTAAAATGAAATACACGTGTAAGGCTAGTCGAGTAATAATACCCCTCGAGAGACACTTAGATAGAGTTAGCAATTCAAGCGGAAATAATTAAATTCATCTTCATTCTTGAGATCCAGTTGCGGTACACCTACTGACCAGAATTTCCGTTCAACTAACTTTATTATGGCTACGTCAATGCTACAAACAAGTTTACTACATTAAGTGTTATCACTATTCATTGCAGCCAAGCAAACCGAGCAAAAATTAATTTGACTTACGAGGCCCAATTCAAATTTTTGTTTCTCAAATATATATTTTTTTTTTTATTGCTTAGATTGGTGGACGAGCTCACAGCCCACCTGGTGTTAAGTGGTTACTGGAGCACATAGACATATAGGATGTAAATGCGCCACCCACTTTGAGATATAAGTTCTAAGGTCTCAGTATAGTTACAACGGCTACCCCACCCTTCGAAGCGAAACGCATTACTGCTTCACGGCGGAAATAGGCGGGGTGGTGGTACCTACCCGTGCGGACTCTCAAGAGGTCCTACCACCAGTGATAATGAGAATGAATAGTTAATTGTACTGTGGTAGCAGTAACAGGCAGGTTAGTCATACCTAGGTACTAGCTAGTATTACTAAGTTGTTCGGATTCACAGTACGACTTATCACCGGTAAAACAGCTGTCAATGATTTGGAAATATTTATAAATGATACACGACCAACTTAAAACAATGAAATAGTTAGCTATTCAATAACGTGATAAAAAATCATCGAAAACAAGAATTTCCATAATTAGTACCTTCGGTAGTGCTTTCTATAAAAGCAATGGTAGATGACTAGTCAAAGAATATTCCCGTATTTCGTACGTTTTGTAAAGAGAAAAACTCTTGAGACCTAGCACACCGAAAATCAAATAAGCTAATTCGAACCAAATCTTTAACTTATGTTTGATAATGACTAAGACGGAATGAGTAGCAATAGCCTTTTCTTGACAAATCTACAACAACATTATATCTTTATCTTAAGCAACTCCGTAGAAATCTACTACATTAATTGAGCACATTCTGAGTAAAATAAAAACTTCCTGATTAGAAACAAAACTTTTAGAGACGAAACGTGATCCAAACTTTTTAATTATGATAAGTATATTATCCATTTAATTCGGTTTCCCAAAAGTGATTCACACCTAAGTTATATTTGGAGAGAAAATAATTTCTCAGCGAAAAGGAGTTGTGAAAACCTTTTAAAACTAATAAACGTATACCTAAAGTATAATTATAATTACTGAACTTTTTTGTAACAATAACCTTTAAATTAATTATCCTATTATATGAACAGGAAAAATCTACAACTAGTGAAATAAATATTCAATTAAGAATTTTTTAAAGTACGGAACACAGATATTTGCTTTTGGTATTGGGAAATATAGGCAATATATTATTCATTCAGAGCCCACCAGAGGCTAAATGATAACATCATGGCTAAGGCAATTAAGTAATAAGATTGAAGGCTCTGGTACAGCATCTATCCTAGCCTTCAATTTGAAGCCCATGATTTATACGCTTCAGGAAATATACAACGCTACTACCCGGACTTAAATAGTGGGGGCTAGATCAGTGAAATCATTACTAAAAGAGACAATGGTCGCTTGCTTTTTTTGAACAAAAATAGACGCGAAAGTTATCATTAACTTTCTTAGTATATGAAAGTTACTATATTAAATAAATCATAATATAAAAGTGAATTATATTATGAACATAACTTATATTTATATATTATTTACGAAAGTATAAATTTGGACTTATTAGAGCCAGTTCCAACAAAACTTTAAAAATCAAGCCAAATTTTTATTTTATTTTCACCGAAGTCAATAAAATGTTTGACTATTAAATTGCCAGTCTGATCGTTATTGCTAGTGTGATGCCAAGTCGACTTGTTGAGTACAGTATCATGTGCACAATGGATTTACCTCTGAGAAACGTTTTTTTTTATAAGCCTTGATAGTTGGACGAGCTCACGGCCCACCTAGTGTTAAGTGGTAACCGCAGCCCATAGACATCAACAACGCAAATGACCCACCTCGAGACATGAGTTGTAAGGTCCCACATTTTTTTTACATTAAAACAGCTACTTCTGCCTTCAAACCGAAACGCATTACTACTAATAAAATAAGAATGTCGTCATGGACCTTTGATACGTGTACCAATTTTCAAGTTAATCGGATTTCACGAAGCTCGTGTAAATTACTTTTTAAAAATTTTAAAAACTTTTTAAAATTACTTTTTAAAATACTTTTTAAAACTTTATACCTACACAGATAATGTGATAACAGTAAAGCTAACACAGTCATGTTTTAAAAATTGGTTTTCTAACATAATAGCAAATATCAATTGATATTGTCAATAGTACTTTTAAATTTATTTTGGTACTCATATACGTTCATTTTCCATTCATTTTGCCACCTCTACGAACTTCTGTGAAAAACAAGAAGATACGTAACTAAGTACTAAGTAATGTTTCTGGTACGTGGACATCGGGACGTTTTGCAGTGTAGCGGTTGGAGCTTGACCAGCGCTCCACACAAAAGAGCTATTTAATTCACATCGAAGGCACAAAACACGCGTTTGATTTTAAGCGGCATCTGCGCTGAATTTCCTGGTAATATTGGCTCGAAGCGGACGGGAACGCTGCTCGCGATCTCGTTTCAGATAGCTCCATCAATCTTCTGCAACAGTATATCGGCTTCCCATTTTAAAAAAGTAACGCGAACAACTCCGTAAAGTTCTTGTCGTTTGTGGAATACGTTTACGTTTCGCCCCCGGGTTAGAATAAAACGTCGAACACAGATTTTGCGATTAGGAGGAGCTACGTTCGATTTATTAAAAATTATACGAATAATTTGAAAAGGTTTTTTTATGTTGTACAATTTATTTTAGAGGCGAGATGAGACAATCGATTTCACAGCCCACCTGATACAAAGAAACTTCCGGAGCATATTATTATAAAACACAGGATCGTAGACACCCTTGACCAGCTATGAACCTAAAACACCGATCTTATTGAACTGAAATAAAAACCACGGTCTCCGCTTGAACTAAAACACATGATTGCTTAGCTGCAGAATAGGCCGGATTGTTTTAATATGGAGCTCTATCACCACTACTCAAAGAATGCATATCCTATATGCTTGATTAAAAGTAAGCTGATCGTATTTTTCATTATTCACGATTAACCTATCCATAACTTCCAACAGCAATAAATCGTTATTACACTACATGGCACGCACAGGCAGTTCCTCGGTGTTAATTGGTAATTTACCTCAAAACATATGAGCGAAGTATCTATTGTATTAACTAACAGGTGCACCCTTCTAACTGAAAGACATTACTGCTGCTAGGAAAATTAAACAGTTCATGGAAATAGACTAATATAGACGAATGTTGGAGAAGTACAGATTGTGGCACATAATGATAGGGGTCGTTCTAACCATTATTGCCCAGTTCATTAAAACTACACCCATTTCACATTAGATTCCAGCGAGCTATGAACAGGAACCGAAAGCTTTAGCCGTAGAGTGTAATTTGCCTTTTGTTTAAAAGCTTCAAGAACAACGAATCTCAAACAATCCCATTAACAATTGCGACAGGAAACTTTATCAAGGACGCATTCGAGTAGAATTCGTCCAGTGAGTTTTGAAAGCTGATCCACTCGTCATATAAAACAGAAATACTTCAAATGTTTATATAAACGAACTAGCTGTACCCGTCCGCTTCGATGGGCATTTAAAATTAACATTATTATTTCTCACCCCCACAAAGATTCTTATCATTAACGCCCCCGCAACTGGTGTAGGGAGTCCAATACTCATATAAATATTACCCTATCCATTAAGTCCATATATTTTCTACATGAATACCAAGTTTCAAGTCATTCGGATGCATTGTTCATTAGTTATAACGGAACATCCGTGCAAACCACTGTAGATTTATATATTAGTATAGATAACTCAGGCCGGTCCCTGAACCACTCGATCATGGGAATCGAAGCGGCGTACGACTTGTACGTTTTGTAACGAATGTATTGTACTCAAAGTGCTAAAACAAAACGAGCTAGATTGGCGAATACATTCTCTGTACCGTGCGAACTACACTGATGAACGAGCAATGCGGTTCTAATAGCAATAGCCTTTTTGCTCGCTCTCCACATCCTATATTGAGCACCTTCAAAATAAAAAATCTAAAACCCGTATCGAAACCAATACTGTACAAAGCCTTTTGAGTTTTAATTGAATTTATGCGATGTTATTTCGAATATTTTCCTGACCGCACTAAATGGGTGGAACAGTTCACAGATTGCGTAGTCGTGAGGCATT